TAGCTTTAGCTTTTACTAATTTATATAAAGTTAAAGACGTATTTTATCTAGGAGTATATTTATATATATAAGTTAGTTTATTAAAAATATATAGTCTAAGGTAGGTTACCTTTAGGATAATTACCACAGTTATAAATCTTATAAATCTACTATTTTTTACTATTACTACCCTAGTCTAATACCTACCAGGCTGCCCTTAAATAATACTAGCTATTAAGCAGCTCTACAACCTTATTAGTAACCTCAGCCTACGTATAAAAATCAAGTAGCTTAAGCAAAGGGTTTTTATAGTTACTAGCCTAAATACTTTCTAATATATTAGCCAGGTCCCCTAGTAAACCTAGGCTCTTATTACAAAAACGCATTTATATAACGGTAACTGCACTAGCGCTATATATAATCTTTATATAGTTCTCCAGCTTAAGTCTGCCTATACCCCTATTACAGAAACTTTAACAAAGGCTGCTTAGGTAGCTCTCGTCTATACACCTATTTTTTCTAACCTTTTAACGTAAAGATAAAGTATTAAAAAGAAACTTCGTAATTATAAGCAGATAGCCTTTAGTAAAAGTTCATACTAATATAAACTTACCTACCGTAGTAAATAGTATATTATTAAATATATATAAAGCTAGGCTTTCTTAATAAGACCGCTTTATTAAACTAGATTTCCCAGCAGGATTAGCTATCTATAACTATTTCATTATTTTTTTCCTTTAAAAAAAGATAATAATTAAAGAAAAGGTAAAAGAGTTAAATATATTTATACTAATTATTTATAAAAATTTAAGGATTATTAATTTTACTTTTTTTACTTTTAAGGGGAAGACTTAGTAAAGAAAAGGTTAAGCTATTTTTTATAAAATAGCTAATAGGCTACTTCCCCTAGGGAAAAAGGTTTAGCTAGCTTTTATAAAATAAACAACTAGCTGCTTCCCCCAGGGGAAGAGGTTCAGCCAGCTTTTATAAAATAGCCAACTACTTACTTCCCCTAGAGAAAAAGGTTTAACTAGCTTTTGTAAAATAGCTAACTAACTACTTCCCCTAGGGAAAAAGGTTTAATTAGCTTTTGTAAAATAAATAACTAACTACTTCCCCCAGGGGAAAAGGTTTAACTAGCTTTTGTAAAATAAATAACTAACTACTTCCCCTAGGGGAAGAGGTTTAACCAGCTTTTATAAAATAGCCAACAGAGTACTTCCCCCAGGGGAAAAGGTCTAGCTAGCTTTTGCAAAATAAATAACTAGCTGCTTCCCCTAGGGGAAGAGGTTTAGCTAGCTTTTGTAAAATAGCTAATAGAGTACTTCCCCTAGGGAAAGAGGTCCAGCTAGCTTTTACAAAATAGCCAACTACTTACTTCCCTCGGGGGAAGAGCTTTAGGTAGTTTTTTTATTTTTACAGTAACCCTAACCTAACGTCAGAGACGGGTTTACAGCCTATAATAACATTCCAGCTCCCACCGACCTGCAGCACTTCCCCCGAGAGCTCATCCATCTCAATCCCCTTACCGCTATCGTCCTTAATTTACTTTTCTATCTCCTCCATAACAAGCCTATTAACAATCTAGCCTATCTCTATTATAATAATCTAGTACCTCGCTATACCAATGTATACGCCGATCGCAGCTCCTATCTTACGCATAAGCAGGGAGCTTAGCTTCTTTATCTTCTAGCGCCCTGCTGCACCGTACTACTATATAAATTCCCTAGTACCTAGCGGTATTACCGGGAGTATTAGTTATTACTTTAGAAGTTCCTCTGCTGAAAGCAGCTACGTAATATATATAATAAGTATGCAGCTTATATTATCTAATAGGAACTATGCAACCTTACGTCTTATATTATAAATTAACTTAGCTTTATTATAATCTATTATAATTATAACCGATCTATTATATAAAAAGTAATTCCGCATTACCTATAGTTTATTACAGTATCTTATTATACTTACCTTAGGTCTGCGGCTGAATATCCTACTTTATATATAATATATAACTATAAGCAGCTTTTTTAAAGCCTAAAGATTGCCTAACTATGTTATTACCCCCTTTATCTTCTATATATTTACCTTAGTATTAAAGAGTATTAACTACGTAGCCTTAATAGCTAGCCCTAGCCTATTATAAAGCTATCCGTTAGCCTTATTTATAGTAAATAATTACCTAGTACTAAGATATATTATATTATCCTAGATGCTTTTTAAATTAATATTTAGCCTAATAGTTAACTACTAACCTCTAAGTAGTTATCCTATAAGTTAATTAATACTTAGCTTAACTTAGTATATAGCTTACTAGAATTTATAAATATATATATAGTCTTTATTATATATAAGCGCCTTATAGTTATTAATCTATTATACGCTTAATATAACTAAAGTTTTATTTTAATATCCTTTACTATATACTATTTACTTAATTATAGTTTTAACTACTATAAATTAGTTAACGTATAACTACTAAGTATATTACTCCGTAAACTACTTTATTTTCTCTACTGGAATATCTTCTATATCTAGCGGTATATTTTAGAAAAAGTCCTTTAAAAAAGCTAGTTATAAAATTTATAGTATTACTACTACTGTTATTGTAAATAACCCTGCAGGCTGGAATCCGTTGCTGCCTTACCTAATGCCTACGGCTGTAAAGAAGTATAGTAATACGTTTATGTATATAGCGCCACCGACTTTAGTTTTAATAAATGTAATAAAAAACGTAAATAAAATCCTATCTAGTTCAGTGTAGTTAAATAGCCCTTTGGTTCTAGGTTAGCTGCTTTATACATAGCCTTCTATATTACTATTATACCCGCCTAGGCTTTTGTTATTATTAACTTTAACTCCGTCTATAACCTTAAAAACGTAGTCTATATTATATAGTAAGCCCTATTACTCCTCCGTAAACTATATTCTAAGCCTGCTTATTACTTCTTCCCTTTTAAGCTTATATACTTACTAGTAGAAGCAGAGATATTATTAATATATAATACTATATTTATATAGTGTATTAGAATTATTACTTATTTTAAATAATATTAGGTTACTTTTGCCGTCTTTAATACTATATAGTAGTTATTAAATAGGCTTAAGGATAGTATATATACGTAGTTTATACTACTTTACTTCCTAGTTAATACTATTATATAATATTATAAGCTACATTATTTACTTAATATCTCCTTTTTATACTTCTTATATAGACCTATCTATAGCCTTAGCCTTAACTTACCTTATAACCGCTGTAATAACAGCGCAGTCCTTTCCTTTTATAAACTAGATCTAGTATATATCTTTAATAAATTTATTATTATAATCTACGCCTTAATAAGCTTGCCCAGCCTATTACTACTACTTATTAAACTTATGCAGTTATTTTACTCCCGCCTATATAATCTACTCCAGCGTACTTAGACTTCTTTTATTATCTACTTTATCCTATATATTAACGTTAATAGTTAAGTTATACCCTTTACTGCCTACTATTTAGTATTATAAAAATTTCCTACTTATTTATAATTAAACATAAACTTTTATATAATAACAGCCCTCTAAGGTATACTTTGCATTTCTTTAGTAGTTATTAGCTATTTTCTTAAATATTATAATAAATAAGTATACTATATACTTAAACCTATCCTTAACTAGGATTACTAATTATTATAGTTTACTATTAGCAGGTAGTTTAATAATCTTTAGGTCTTTTACTTACCTTAATAAAGCTAAGTAGTTTTTAATCTTCTATAAAATAATACCTAAAGTTTAATATATATTTTAAAGGTAGGTAATTACTTTATTTCCTAGTATTAATACTTATTTACACTTAGTATAAACTACTAAATTATAAGTTTTATTTATTTAAATATACTTTTCTATTATAATATTTATTTTTATATATAATAATATAATACTATAATATAATATAGCTTAGGCTTTTTATATTTTACAGTTTACTTACTTTTTTAACCCCTTTTATAATTTAGTATAATACTCTAACCCTTACTTTAATTTTTATCTACAATACTCTAACCCTAACTCTAATTTATACTTTAACCTTTCCTATAGAAATTAGTCTAAAGAATTTAAAGTAAAAAACCTTAACCCTTTTACCCTACTCTTACCAAAAATCAACGGATATTCAGACTGAATTCCCTGTTAATAATACCTAGGATACACCTCCGGCAGCCCTTTATCTAAATTAGAGAGTTTACCTCGCGTACCTTTATCTTAAAGCAGCCATCTATCCTTAAATCTTTAGACGGCCAGTCTTTCTCCTTAACTATAATTATAGCCGCTATATACTCTCTAGCTCTTCCTATATAATTAACCTCCTATATATAGTTAATAATATTATATAGTACCTTAAGGTAAATAATGTATATTATACCTAGTATATTAATCCCCGTCCCTAGTATAGCCGTAGTTATAATATATAGGGTTTTACCCTAGAGCTAGGCTTAGAAGCTAAACTTTTGCTAAGTAAAGAAGCGTATATTACTACCTTTATTTAGGTTACTATAATAGTAGTAGCAGCTTATTAACTAAGCTAACGCCTTATATTTTATATAGCTTATATAGTAAACTACACCCTTTTTACTAAGTGTAAGTAAGCTAACCTAAGCCTTAATTAACTTCTTAACCTCTATTAGGCCCTGCTTATTATAAACTTATAGAACTAAGTAATAAGTATTTATATAATAGCTTAAGGCCCTAATGTAAAGGGGATGCTGCAGCTATATAACTTCCTTAAAATTACACTAAGTAAGCGATAATAGTATACTAGTTAAAAATATAAAAAGGCAGCCTAGGCTACGTAAATATATTAACCCTTAAAGCTTCTTCTAGTATTTATAAGTAGTAGTAAATATAAAATAGTATTTATTAATAATTATATAGTCTAGCCTCCCCTAGATACTTAAATCTACTGCTTATTATATAAAATTATTACCTATAGCGGCCTCTGCGGAAATAATTATAACTTAGGGCCAGGAGTTATATACCTGCGGCTAGTACTTACAGTTAATACCTACATTAAGGCAGTACGTAATAAGCTGTCTCTTAAGCTTAGTATAAGGCGCTACTATAATAGTAACTCCGGCTCCAGCTAGTATAGCTAGTACTATAAAAATTAGGCTTTTCCCTCTGCTAATAAGAAGAATAGTAACTAACGGTATTTCCTTTACAGCAGCTATCTATATAGCTTTTTCCTACTAAGGTATACGGAACCTTATATAATTATCCTAAAGAACTATCTATAAGGCTTTTAGTATAACCTAGTCCTGCCTTAAACTAAGTCTTAGCTTCTCTAAATATATAACCCTAGCTTATTTTAAGGGCTAAGGCGCCTATAGCTTAATATTAGCCTCTGCCTTTTGCTTTAGTAGCAGTAGTAGTAGCCTAGATAATAGCTAGTTAAGCTTAAGGAATTTATACTATTAATAACTAACCTAGCCGAATATTTTAAGAGATTTAGTAGTTAGTTACTTAAGTATGTTAATAGTAACGCTATAATTAGCAGCTATCTTAGTTATATAGGCAGCGGCTAAGTTATTTAGTATTTTATACTGTTTTACCTTATTATTATTATTATTATCTTCTTTAAAGTCTACCTTAGCGGTACTACGCTAGTGAATATACTTTTTACTAACTGTAATTATAATATACTACTAATTTTATAGGGTAATCCTACGGCCTATATAATAATAAAACTACTTTACTATTACCTTTAATATTTAGGTTCTATCCTATAGCCTATTTTTATTATACTAAATAAAATTACTTAGCGGTTTCATTTTACTATATAAGGCCTATTACTTTACCTCCTAGCAATTAGTAAGCGGTTTAATATATATAAAGTATATTACTATTAGCTAGGTAACTTAAGAAGGTAAGAAGCATAATATAACCTTTAGAAAATTAAAGTATACTAGCGACTTATAATACTACATTACTATTACTATTTTACTATTAATAATAAATATACTACAGTTATAGTTAATACTATTTACCTAATGTAGGCCTTTAAGCTTATTACCCTACGCTAAAGTACCTTCTCTTATATATACTAATAGTATAAATAGCTCCTTAAACTAATCTATACTTTTTAAATACTTTTAAATACCTTCTTAATTCTAACGGCCGTCCTTATCTAGGAAGTCTTACCTCCGCTTTCCATAAATAAAGTCCTTTAGCATTTTACTCTCTTTCCTAGCTAAGCTGCTATTAATATATATAAAAAACTAGCCCTGCTACATTTACGTTAAGTTATCTTTAATATTAGCTAATAGTATTATAAAATAAATATTATCTCTATTACCTTTTTTTTCTTTAAATATTAACTTTATCTAAAGTAAAGTTTTTATATTTATAATTATTTTATATACTATAGCCTAAATTACATTTATAAAAATTAGCTTTTTTATAAAGTATATTAAGTTACCCTACTTACTCTAGGACACTATTAGCCAGCTACCTATTTCCTTTATAATTTTACAACTGTAAAAAAGTAGGCTAAGTATATAGCCTATAGGTAAGTACATTGCCTTATACAGTTAAGTATCCTAGACTTAGGTAAAGTACCTCTTAAGGTCCTTTATACTAGGTTGTTAAGTAGTTAAGATAGTATACTCCGCTAATAACGCCCTACCTATATATATTATACCTATTAATATATATATAAAAAGGTAGGCTAGCCTAAGCTATTTAAACTTATTATTAATACCTAGGATAGTAATAAAATACTAAAGTAAGTTAGTAAAAGGGTCTTTATTTAAATACTATATCCAAAAGCTAGCTAATACCTACAGCAGCTTCTCCTTTAAATCTCTTTTTTACTAATCGCTGTTCTATAGGTACTCCTATAATATCTTAAGGCCCTTTCTTTAGCTATTAGTAAAATTAAAGCTATATTTCTTTAGTAATATATTTAATTTTAGTAAAAAAACATTTATATAGTAGTATAAAAACTACTTCTAATACATTAGATATTAATTTATACTTATCTTTTCCTACAGTAGCTTAAACAGCTGACTATAGATATTCTTTAAATAAGGGCTAGTAAAAAGTAGCCTTACTATTAGGGATATACTCTTAAGACTAGCTATACAGTAGCTAAAGAATATTTAGTTAACGGTAGTAACTAACTTTTATAACTAGTTGTTTTTTAAACTAGGTATATAACTGTAAAGGTAGATTTTACTTAGATCTTAGCCTGTAAAATAGGTAATTTAGCTAAAATACTTTAGCTAGTTAGTAATCTTATACTTTATAGCCCTATTAATAAAAACCTTTTATATTTCTTCTTATTAGCCTTAATTATATACCTACTGCTTCTTAATTTTAATAATTATTTTATCTAAGTACTTTAGGTTATTTTATCCTCCTCTCTTTAAGTAGTAGTACTTTACCCTACCCTCCCTTTTTATTTTAAACTACTACCTTACACCTTTATATATACCTACGTCCCCGTTAATAATAATACCAGAGGCTATAATATAAAAGTAATAAATAGCCTGCTTAAGCCCCGTAAAAAATATTTATATTTTTATAATAAACTCCTTTAGTACCTTACCCTATATATTATATACTTTATTATAGTATACCTTAAGCTATTTCCAGCTTAGGGTAAAAAGTCCATAGTAATCGCACGCCTATTTATTAAGCACTAATATACCTTTAATAAATAATCTTAGGTTTAATAAGCTGTAACGGAAATTATTATCTAGCAGCCGCCGTAAATCTAGCTAAAAGTGCCTTACTATAATAACTTCCCGGGCTTTTCTTTTAATATCTCTGTATTAGTATTTAAGGTAGCTCTTAAGGTTAAGTAAAGTATATCTATAGACCTAGTATACTAGACTCTAATACTTTTCGTAATATATTAGCTAGCTAACGTTATCTTCCGCAGCTTCCTCTATCTTAGCAACCTTTAGCCCTATAACTAATCCTTACTATATACCCCTTTTATCCTTAACTACCTTAAGTCCAGGCTAGGTATTAAGTTATAATATTATAGCTGCAGTAGAAGGTAATACAACTGGATAAAAGTAGATAATAAAAGAATAGGTATATGTATTTATATATATATATATATACATAAGGTTAAGAAAAACGGTTAGTGTATGTAGTATATAAGGGTTAGGTTGCTAATTTACTAGACCTTTTATAGAAAACTGGTAAAGAGCCCTGGTAAAGCGCCCTTTTGCATAATATAAATCTAGTAAGTAGTTAGAGTTTTACAGCTATAGAGGAAGATAAGAATAAACGAATGAAAACGTATAAATAAACAGGATTATTGATTAAATTAACAAATAAAACAGCCAGTTAAGCTAAACTGCCCCTTTTATAAGATGAGCAGATAAAATCGGTAGTTAAACGGGTGCATAGGTTAGATAGATAAGTATTTACTTTTTATTCTTCCGGATTATTTCCGCTAACCCTATATCTGCATTAAACTGAAAAGGTAGTATTTTGTGGGAACTGGTAGTTTAGGATGTGGTAGTTTGCTACCCCTGCTGCTTGTTCCACTTTGCGTTACAGCCAATGGCAGTATACCGACCTGCTCATGTCAGCTGGTAGTTTGGCCTAAACTACCAGCGGCCTCTCGGTTAGGCTAAATAAAATATAGTATTAAATATAGCTATAGCTATTAACTTTTACCTAGTGTAATATACCTCTTAGCTTTATTTAGTAATAGTAGAATAAGTTTACTTATACTTAAATATTACTTTTAAAAATTTTATTATTTTTTATATTAACCCTAAAGAAAAGCCTAAAAACCCTAAGAAATTAAGTAGTAAAGAAAAAACTACTTAATTAATTAAAATAATATTAGCTAATATATTTTATAATAAAAAAAATAAATTAAATACTACTAAGACCCTTACTATAGTAAAAGCTTCTGTATTTATTAAAAAAGCAGGCTAAAAGGACCTTAGGGTTACGTAAGTATAAATTATATTATAAAAAAATATATATAATAAAAACCTTTAGAAGGGAATTAATAACCTAAAGTATTCTTTTATAAATAATAAAGGGCTAGCCTTTACTATTAATAAAAAAAATATAAATAAAATTAATAAACTTAAAAAAAGCCTTAATAATTATATTTTTATTTAAGTTCCCTTAGACTATATATAAAAAAAACTATTAGTTATTAAGGCTAAATAAAAACTAATTAAGATTTTAAAGCTTATAAATAAAAATATTACTTACTTTTAAAAAGTTTAATTAAGCTTTACCTTTAGAAAAAAAAATTAAAATATTAAAAATAAAATTATTATACTTTAACTAGTAGTAGAAAATAAAGGCCTAAAAATTAAAAAAGTATATTTATAAAAAGTCTTTTTTATATATAGTATATTAAAAACATATACTAATATAAGTAGGACCTACCCTATAATATACTAATCTTAAAGGAGGTATATATTAAAGTAGGGGCTAAAAGCCTACTTATTTTTTATTATAAAGCTAACTTTAAAGAGTTTTTTAATATATATAGTTACTTTATCTCCTTTAATAAAAATATTAAACCTAGTTTTAAACTTTTTAATAGCTCCTTTTTAATAAAAACCTAGGTTTAGCCCCTTTAGGTTACCTAATACTTATAGTATTTTAAATTTTATAACCTATAGAATTATACTAAGATTAAAAAATATTATAAATATAATAAGCTATTTTTTAAATATAATAATACTATAGTTAACTACTTATCCTTGCTTTAGTATATTAATTATAATAGCCCTTATATAGTAAACTCCTTAAAGTATTTTACTAAATTAATTATTAAAAATAAAAAAAAAGTATAAATAACTAAAGCTTAACTTTAGGTAATTTAAAATTAAGCTAGTAGGAATATAATAAAACTAACCTACTTAAACTTAAATCTACCCTTACCTTAGCCTTTTATACTAAGAAAATATTTAACTTAAAAACTTAAATAGGCCCTTATATAAAGCTATTAATTTTTAACTTAGCTTTACCTTTCCCCCCTTAAGCTTTAGCTAAAAAAGTTATTATTAAAGTTAACTTAAATAAGGAAAATCTTTATAAAGGAATTTTTTTTACTAAGTTAATAGTTTATATAATTAACTTAAATAATAAAAAAAAAAAGCTAAAGGTAATAAAAATATACTTAATACCTCCCTTAAAATTAATAAACTTTTTAATATAAGCTTATAAATAATAGGCTTTA